AGCCTGGGCCGGGGCCTTCACAGCCATGCGAAGTGCACACAGGTAAGACCGTCACTCCCTAGTCGCCCTCGTGGAGAGACGTGACAGCAACCCTGGGACACTCTGGATAACTGGAGAAGACTAGGGGCTGCCACAAGACCCACGTGGCTGCGAGAAACCTGAGCCTGTGTCTGTCTCTCTCGCATGACGAGAGCCAAGATACCGGTTTCCCTGCAGGCTGTCCTCTCTCCTGCACGGGCAGGGCCTAGCAGTGCCCCCTCGCCAGGGAGAGGACGCCAGCTCTCTGTGCCCACGTTGTCAACGGGAAGCTCTCTGCCGGCCATTTCCCTGTCTGTTCCTACGGAGTCCTCTCTCTGCTCTGCATCTTGGGGGCTACCTGTCTCCGCTGTCCCTCCTGCTGGCCCCTGGGTAGGTTTTCATTTTTTTAATTATTTTTTTTTTAGAGAATTTTGCTATAGGGCGTGTGCGCTCGCCAGACAGACAGAGAGGGACAGAGAGACAGAAAGTGAGAAATCACCCCCCAGGGAGGATGGCCATGCCACAATCCCTTCTCTTCCATTTTCTCGGGATCTTGGGCACGCACGCACACGCGCCCAGCGTGAGTTTTAAGCCACTGGGTCTGGGACACGAACCGTGGTCGACTACGTGGGAGTCCAGCGACATAGCCATTACGCTAACTGCTAGTCCCACCTCTGGGTAGGTTTGGCACAGGATGGAGGTTTCTGTCCCTGAGGCAGCCCTGGCTAATGGCTGTGTCTCCTCCCTGGCTCCAGCTCCCTACAGTTCCACTTCCTGCCAGTGGTTCTGGCAACATCACCTGTCATTGTCCCAGGGGGCTGGTGGCTCCTGATCTGCCTCACCACCCCACTTGGCTTCTCGCCTGCTCCATTATCTGGATATCCAAGGATCTTCATTTAACGCCTGGGAACAGAGGCCTCTCCACCCCTGCTTCCCTGCCAGGTGCCTGTGCTCAGCCCCTGCTCTGCTGTCTGCCCGGCGGGTGCCTCAGAGACATACCCGCTGCTTCTCCTGCCACTTGTCAGGCTCACGGCTGGGCCCCCGGCCGGCTCACCC